GTGTCCATCATTTTACACCGTGCGCCTTGTCCACAGTATGCCGCGCTTCTTGGATACGCATACCGGCCAATTTGTCTGGATTGGCGACCCCAGCAACAAGCAGTATGCTGTCCTTTCTCATCTCTGGCGTTCGGCCGCAGAGGTAGGTCTGCCCGAGCAGACCTACGACGACATACGCAGAATACAGGTTGCAGCCGCAGGCGCGCGCGACAAGAAATCATCCGTCTGGTCCACCCGCTTGGCACACCTGGGGGCGAAGCCTCAAACCCTAGCAGAGCAAACGAGCGCGGCCACATCCATCCTGTCCCATCCCGACCTATCGCACAAGATCAAGGAAATCTGCCGAGTGGTGCGCGACGCAGGGTATAAGTTGCTCTGGATCGACGCATGCTGTATCGACTCCAAGAGTAGTCTCGAGCTGACAGAGGCCGTCAACGCCACATACGCGTTGTTCAGCCGCGCGCAAGTATGTTACGTCTATCTTATGGACGTCCCGGACGGTGATGACCCAACCATTGGCCCCGAGTCCGCGTTTTGGCGGAGTAAATGGCACCAGCGGGCGTGGACGTTGCAGGAACTCATCGCACCCGCGCACGTCGAGTTTCTCTCTAACACGTGGACGCCCCTCGGTACGAAGATCAAGTTGGCCTCCGTTTTGGAGAAGATCACCGGCGTTGACGAGGCGGTACTGACTGGACGGGCGAGTGTCGACTCGGTAAGCGTCGCGCGCAGGATGTGGTGGGCTTCACGGCGAAGGGCCCGCCGTGTCGAGGATGAGGCGTACTCCCTGATGACGATTTTCGGCGTCCACATGCAGCCTATCTACGGCGAGGGCTGTTATGCGTTCATTCGCCTACAGGAGGAGATCATACGGACGATACCGGACCAGAGCATCTTCGCCTGGGGGCCATCTTGCCACCTGCGTAGTTTGGACACGGACGGGCACCCGCTAGAGAATTTGGAGGTCCGGAACGGAGCCGATTTCGAGGCGCACGAACAAGGCCTCCTGGCGAAATCTCCAAGAGATTTCGCTCATGCCGGCGATGTTGTGGCCATGACAGCGGAGGACTTCGCGACTCGCCTCGCTGGAACTTCCCTCAGCGGCTCCTCATTGCCTGACCGCCTATCACCACCCGCGTATGTGTTCACCCCAGACGGTGTCAGCGTCGACCTCCCATGTGTGGATATCTCGGGCCTCGCCGAGGCTCTGCACTATGTCCGCTACCAGGGCAACACGCACTCAGACGGTCGCCCGGGCGCTGTCGATGACAAGAGAGCGCACACCCTAGCCCTCCTACGATGCCATGACAAGGATGGACGCCTTATTTCGTTACCGCTCTTCCGTCTGCCAGAGAAAGACCAAGGGCTTGTCGTGGGCACCGGTCCGGTGGCAAGAAATGTTCTCATACCTCCTGCGCGTGCACGAGGAGACCCCTGGCGTACGGTGCGCCTAGACGCTGACGTCTTGGACGCCGCCCGTGGCTATTTTCTCGACACACATAGTCTTCTCATCCATCGGCACTATCTGCCTTCCATACACGCCACGGGCACTGACGTGACGGACACGTTGATGCAGCGTGTCGAGGCGTTGGAACGGGAGGTCCGTACCCTGCGAGAAGCTTCGAGGCTCGGCGGTACAGCCATCGAGTCTACTGGTACGTTGTTTTACGTCGATTTCGCGAAATACCAGCTGAGACACCTTTTCTTTACCTTCTAGGTACAAAGGCGTGGCGCAGCTTGTTCATGCATCACATTATCCGTCGGCTGGCGGTTTTGAGTTCCAAGCTACCCTAGGCACCCCAATTCCCTATGGCTATGAGATCTGATGCAGCGTGGCAGGGGACCACTTGTGTCTGTGTCGCCCGGCGGGTTAGAGACTCTCGTGTTAGCTGCCTTGATTATGTTGGTTAGTGACATCCACTATCTATCGCACGAACGTGCCCCTCGCCTGAGTCGTACTCCTGCGCCGAGCGACAACCGGACAACTTTGGTCCTTCGTAGCCCTTTCCGATAGGACTACGCAGATGTCATGCGGCACAGTTTTATGTAGCGCCGGCGTGGTGGTCATCCGACGCCGCAGTGCTACTATTGAATTGATCAAAAGATGAAGGGAAGCATCGCAAGTCCTCGCGTATACCAAGCGTACCAAAGCCCGGAGCAGCAAGGTGGATGCACGCCTCACCTGGTAGGTCTTGAATTGTGGCGTATTAGCTTTCTCTACTGACACCCGTAGGCTGTGAACGTTGAACTTTGAGTCTAATGTCCTACGGTTTTTTTGGGTTTGGGGTAATGCCTTACGGAGGGTGTACTTGTGTGTGTACACTGTTCGGGGCCGTACGTATAGAATATTAAAGGGTTCGTCACGGCGGAGATTCTGCTAGCCCTTGCGAAAGTCGGTGCGTTCCCCAAGGTCCTAGAACGAGTCACATTCGCCATCCTACTATTGCCTTTCAAAGAGACTCGTGAGTGCACCTGCCTACCGCAAATTGTTTCAACTAATCCCAATCTTCTCCGTGGCCAGGATGCGCCTTCTAAATACACAGACGGGGCAATTTTACTGGGTTGCTGACCCAAGTCGAGTCCACTACGCGATCTTGTCTCACACATGGGCCTCGGATGCGGACGGTGGTGAACAGTCTTACGCAGACGTTCTGAGCATCCAGGCAGAATCGGTCGCCTCGGTCTGGACGCAGGCAATGACCTTGTGGAGCTTCTTCTTACGCTATATTCGAACCCCGGCCACATCGGAGCCGCCCTCCATCCTCTCACACCCCATGCTCAGCAACAAGATTCGCCGCACGTGTGAGGTCGCGCTCAGGGACGGCTACGACTTCGTGTGGATCGACTCGTGCTGCATCGACAAGTCCAGCAGCGAAGAGCTTTCTGAAGCAATCAACTCGATGTACCAGTGGTATAGTCTCGCGGACATCTGCTATGTGTATCTTTCCGACGTGCACGATAACGACGGCTCCCCGGAACCTCCATCGTCCGCGTTCTCGAAGAGTAGATGGCACAGACGGGGTTGGACGCTCCAAGAGCTCATCGCACCAAAGCAAGTCGTATTTATGACAAGTTCCTGGCGGCGGCTCGGCACGAAGATCGATTTGGCGTCGCCGCTCAAGAGGATTACTGGCATCGGCACTGCTATCTTGACCGGGAAGGCTCCTCTGGATTCTGTCAGTGTTGCTCGTAGGATGTCGTGGGCGGCGTTACGGGAAACCACACGGGCCGAGGACAAGGCCTATGCGCTCCTCGGGATCTTTGGGGTCCACATCTCTCCTATCTATGGCGAGGGGTCGCATGCTTTCATCCGCCTACAGGAAGAGATTATCAAGACCGTCCCCGATCAGAGTATCTTTGCATGGGGGCCTACTTGCATCCTTTCTCGTTTGGGTGTGAGCGTGGATCCCCTCGAAAATCTTGATGTCCGGAGCAACTCTGAGTTCGAGCGACACGAATCGGGGCTACTCGCGCAGTCTCCCAAAGATTTTGTTGGTGCCGGTGAGATTACTGGCCTCTCGCCTCAAGACTTTACAAATCGTCTAGGACGCACGTTAGGAACCGGCGCGCTACCCCCTCCTCTTCTTTGCGTATTTACGCCCGAGGGCGTACGCATCCAACTTCTCTGTGTCAACCTCGCTAAAGTCCACCAGGTCCTTTGTCTGGCCCTTCGGCAGGGAATACAGTACAGTGGGACCGCAGGGCCTGACGGTGTACACGCTCATTCGCTTGCGCTTTTGCGATGCCAGGACAAAGAGGGTCGCATGCTCGCGCTACCGCTATACCACCCACAGGAAAGGCTAGAGGAAGGCCTAGCCGTTGGTACCGGCCCAGGATCTACCAAGGCCGTCCCCCTCCCCTCGGCACCTTGGCGGGTTATTCGTGTCACTGGGAGCATCCTTGAGGCCGCTAATTCTCATTTCATGACCCCTTGCGAACTCTTTATACGTCGACACACCATCTCTTACCCGCTGCGAAACGAGACAGAACCGTAACTCAACTGGTCTGTCGGAGATCGCTTGGTGACTACTAGTAGCGCTGACTACGAGTCGCACGAATGACGGGCTAGAGGTTCGAACGGCCGGAGAGCTTACTTAGATTCGTCTACACGTACGTGCACGAGTGGCTAGTTGTACTTGTGATAAAGGTTTAATTCTCTCCGGCCCTTGAGGTTCGATACAAGGTCCTCACACGTTATTTACGCTCCCTGATTCGTGGACGGGTTTGGTATGAGAAGGCTATTCCCATCGAGTCGCTCAGGCTCGTCACCGTGCGGCATGCGTGTCTCGGAGTCCGCTTTCATGTCCAGAATCTATAGGCCTACAAGGTCAACCAAGTGACAAACTAGGTCGTCACTGCCATAGTAAAAGTAATAACACAATGCGTGCCAAGTCAAGTAAGCTACCGGTCTTCCGAGTTCATCCATTACGACCTTGCGCGCTTTGCGCTTACTCTTCATCGTGGTAGCTACTAGCAGATCGTCGTCAGACTGGTCACTGCACAGGTGAAGGAGAGCGTGGGATACTCGCGGCCGGTTCTTGGACGCTTCCAGCTGGGTCCTCAGTGGGCATTAGGGTAGTGGGCTGCGTCAATTGTTCGGTCGAAGCATCAGCCTATACCGCGGCATGTGTGGCTCGAGGCCGTGGGCGAGGGTGCAGCTTGACCTTTTGAAGCCCCTCTATTAGCTAGTTGCACCTATTGTTGCACACCCTTCTCCTTGGCATACCTCGCATTCCGTTTTGCATACTCCACTGTATTATTCGCTTCGTACCCCCCGTATCCCTATCATGGTTCCTTTCCCGCCTGCTGTCTTCTCAGTCTACTTCAGTTTCTCACGGACAATCAATAGAAGAAAACCCTGCAATGAAAACAATGGCTGCCACTATGTTCCTACCAGGCTTATTCGCGTGTTTGAATGTTGCCTCTGGAAATATATGAAAGTATTTAGAATCCCGCAAAAAGGAGTGTAGAGCGAGTCAGTTAATATTATGCCAAGGGGATGCACTAATCGGGAATCGAACCCCGGGCGGGTCGATGACACCAACCCAAGTTGCCACTAACCCATTAATGCGACGCCAGATCTATTCCCCTCAACAATCATCCATGTGTGTTCTTCTGATACAGCCGCTTCGGCCTAAGCGCCTGAGTACTGTCATCCTTATCTCGACTCTGCCCGACCGCTCGAGCTCTTCAACTGCTAAGACCACCACCGCACGCGTTGAGGCGGTAACAGTCTGCCAATGTAAGCGTCGTCAATACATGGCATGCAGGCGTTGAATATACTTAAAATGCAACTTGCAATGCGATTTAGCATGCCACGGTTCTTGAACACACGCACTGGCGAGTTCGAGGAAAAACCTATTTCTGAAGACATTCGCTACGCTATTCTCTCACATAGGTGGAGGTCCGGAGGTGAGCAGTCATATGAAGATGTTCTCGAGATTCAGAAAGAGGCCAAGTTCAGACGTGCTGTCTCGCAAAGCCTCAGCGAGGAGAGCATATCGTCGCCATCGCATGGAGGTAGCGCCTACTCGATGCAGTCGGGCTCCCAGTTCTCGTTGACCATTGAGGACACTATCTTCTGGGATGAGAGCAACCTTGACGATAAGGTCCGTCAATTCTGTAAGGTTGCGCGTGACGAGGGCTTCTCCTTGGCCTGGATAGACTCGTGCTGCATCAACAAAACGAGCAGTGCTGAGTTGTCAGAGGCGATTAATTCCATGTACGAGTGGTACCGCCGCGCAACCGTTTGCTATGCCTACCTCGCGGACGTTTCCGACTCTAGGGCAGATGAACCGAACTCTGTGAGTTCGGATCTCGACTGTACGGATGTTTCGAGTTTTGCAGGCTCTGAGCGTAATCCTGGCTCTGCGGGTGGTTCCAACTCTGCGGATGCTTCCGAGTCCGACTCTGCAGATGGTTCTAACTTTGCAGATGTTTTAAACCCCACGGACTCGGCGGATATTGCCCATCCGGAAAATGCATCTGATTCTGCAGATGCTTCTGTATCAGACCTTGCGGATACTTCCAACCTCTCGCCGATCGGAGCCTCCCATAGTGACTTGAGCATCAGTTATATCCAGACTGGGGGTGTCAGTCAAGGGGCTCAATTTGAGGATAGTGATTGGCACACAAGAGGTTGGACCTTACAGGAGCTCATCGCTCCACGAGAGGTCGTCTTCTTGACTAAAAACTGGCTATTCTTCAGCACCAAGTTCATGTTGGCGAAGACACTAGAGAGAATCACTGGTATCGATTTCCGCGTCTTGACCGGATCGGCACCCTTAGAGTCCATCAGTGTATCCAGAAGAATGTGGTGGGCTGCCCACAGAACAACGACACGAGAAGAGGACAGAGCGTACTGCCTCTTGGGCATATTTGGAGTCCATCTACCCACAATCTACGGAGAGGGCCCCAACGCTTTCATTCGGCTCCAAGAAGAGATACTCAAGAAAGTCCCGGATCAGAGTATCTTTGCTTGGGGTCCGAGATGCGTTCTAAGTATCACCGTTACCGAGAATGCTTACGGGTCGCATCACAAGCACCCTTCCGCAAAATGGCCCCCGAACTACAGGGATCACTGGAGAAACCATCACCCGCCCGAGATTGGCCTTCTCGCCTCATCTCCTGGAGTCTACAACTCCGAGATATGTCCCATGTCTGTAGATGAATTTGCTCGCCGCCTGTTACCACTAGCAGGGCTGGACTCAATGACGGCGCGAATTATGCCTCCGCCTATGCATTGTCTGTTCACACCTCAAGGTGTTCGCGTCCAGCTCCTTTGTGTCGAGTTTGGAAGCCGTTTTTCGGATGTGATCTCCGTTCTCGTCACCTGTACACGGTGTCGGGAACGAGGAACGTTCCGATCTTTAGCTATCCTCCGTTGCAATGGAGATGATAATGACATACTCGCGCTACCGCTCCTAAGGAGACCAAAATTTCTCGGTGGTGGTCTGCCTGCCAGCGTCGCAGACTACGACGGGTATCTCGTGACAACGCATATACCATGTCGCGCAGACTGTGATGGTAGCCAGCCATCTCGTATCATAGGTTTGACAGACCGTTTCATATCATTCATCAGGAATCGAGCAACCCTCGAGCCCCGTGACGTATTCATCAGCACCCAATACTCATTACCAATGGCAATGTCCGCTTCTAGAACATTTACTTGTCTTTCCGCTGAAGAAGACCGCTTTCGAACTCTAGTTGCTGTTTCTAACGGCAAAGGCACGAAGTCACCATTGATCCTAATGCCCCCTACCTTCCCGGATTCTAGCCCCACGTTTTTCCTGTCAGAATCGTCCAAGAGGGCGCTCCGAAGTGCAAACATCCGTGTTGCCGGATCCGAATCCCCCACAGGCTGCTCATATAGCGTCGCTCGAACCACTGGTACTCATAACACTTCCACCACTACCATATCGGTATGTGTGCGCCTCCAGCTTCCGATTGACGCCCTAGAGCAACGATATGAAGAAGGCATCCGAATCCGCATGGAGTTACCTTTCAAGCGTGCAGAGGTACCATTCCGCCTCCGACCGATGGACCAAGAGGAGATAAACAAGCACGAACATCTTTACAAACCGTGGCTTCCGCAGCCAGTGACTATATCCGTCGAGCCTACTGTCGCTATCAGATACACCTCCCTCGAGATCACTAAACAGCTGTTTTCAGAACTGCCTTATGGTGTAGAGCTCCCAACCCCTAGGCCAGCCACGGACCTCGACCAGACTTCAGGCCTCACGGTTCCCGATAGATATCTCGCGCCTGGGAGTCTTCGTCAGGTTTATGGATCACTTCACATATCACAGACTCCTCCGCCTTGGCACAGGAAGGCGTTGACGTTCCTGAGACGTCAGGGAATCCCACCTCCAGTGTGAGTATACAGTCGAGCGTAGCTACCGCCCTCATACTCACTCTCTCCGGCATTGAGTCGTCCAACTATAGTCACGATGGACGGGCCAGTCAGTGTTACCACCCAGGCTGACATCGTCTTCCTCAATGGGCCCGACACATCGGGTAAATCTCGAAGCAGAGTTCTGCGGATCTCATTGGCGAGATTGGGCAAACGAGAAACGGATTGCTTTGAGCTATCTGTCCAACTGTCCGAAGCCTTTCGCGCCGAGCCTACCTCAGCAATTAGCTAAGAACGGCCTCACGATAGTCCGATGGCTTCTGCGCTGCAATACCGTGAAGCTACGGATCAGGTGGGTGCATGTTGTATTTATGGGAGCAACTTGATCGCTCACTCTACATTCAATCTCGCATATGCCAGCCGTCAGTCTCCAATGATATCCTCCGGAATTTTTATGAGAACATAACTAGGGCTGAATTAGACGGTAACCTCAGATATCATGGCACTTCATATGAACCAGGCGGTACCCGATGAACTCGACGTTACGGAGATGGACTTGGACGAAATCACGGCGGTCGAATCGGTGTGATGAATGGCCGGGTCGACGCAATGGAGCAATAGATTGAAGCTTGGGTCGCGCATACAGGAGTACATCAAGTTGCGAAAGCGTCTTAAAAACTTTGGAGAACGCCGTAGGTATGTGGAAGTAACATCATATAAACGAGAAGCTGACAGCCCAACAGTGCACGCAACGATGTCAGAGCCAACAAAAGAGAAGGATGGTACTACTCAAGTTCATTTCGGATCGTATTTCTGGTTCGTTTCCGGGATGTCGCATTTCTCTCTCTTCGTTTCTTCGTCATTGGTTCCCCTTACTACTCCCATACAGCATCTTTTGAAATCTCGTTTTACCTACTTCCCCCCTCCCCCACTCGTCGGTGGACTCGAGACTGACAAAACAACGTATCGGGAAGGACGGTAGGCCTGCAGACTTGTGCTCCCGGAGTCTCTCGCCGTCGAAGGCGGGCGGCATGACGATTGAGCCCGGTGGATGCCTTGTCGCGCCGAGACATTCCCTCCCCGAGAAGCTGTTGAGTCTGGCTGAGGACATCACTTTTATGTGCCTCGGAAAGGACACTTGTCACGGAGAGCTCAATTTCGCAAACTCCTGTAAATTCCGTCCCGGTCTCCCAGTTCAAGTCGAACCACGGAAGGCGCACGAAGGGTCGACCCTCGGTCAAAAAAACGGCCGGAGAGAACGCGCGGATTCGCCTGTACTACAAGTAATTACACTGCAGGTCGGACGATCAACTATCGTATACGATGTATCCCCAGACCTGCCCTTCGGACGTGGTTCCCTGATACTATCGTAATTTTCGTGCTCACAATCCATCGGCCGATATATATTCAAGCCAGCAATGCATTCAAGTGATTGCAGTAAAATATTACAAGGCCTGCCATCGCTTCGCTCTGGCAGGTTGACTACAGCAAAATCATGCATCGTACAGGAAAATTGTAAGGGGAACAATAAGGATGCGGTCATAAGGATTTGATGCCTGGCCGGTCGAAGTTTGGTCCTGGGATAATGCCATGGGGAGGGATACGGTACATAGTTTTGGTAAGGATAAAGGTGATATTATTCTCGGTCAGAGACGTCTCGTAGCAAGTACCAAGCATGGGTCTCGGCGTGTATGGCAGTGTTGTCGATGCACCGCCTGACGGTGTTTTACAGACAGTAATAGGTGAATGTGTGACATAGAGCTGCTAGAGAACGGGTTGGGTTTAGGAACAGGAATGTGACAGCATGGAGCCAGAGCGGAGGAAACAAAGACGATGAAATTGGACGGGGCTATGGCGCGCGCAAGAGCCTGAGGGCAGTGTTGGTGCCAGAATGATGTCCAGTGAGGATAGAAGCTGAGGGTTGCAATTGCGAGAAGTTATGTCAGGCTGAACGGGACCCGCCAGCGCGGACAGGTCAGACTAGATGGTGGGCATTAGTGGAGTAAATTGGTCGACTATAGTACTATGGAATAGGAGGACGCGGCGGTTGAAGACTGATTGAAAGGAGCCAAACAAAGCCAAACGAAATGGGTCGATTTCCGTAATACGTAGTTGATACATGCCAAGCCAAGTGAACTACTCGTCTTCGTCTTCATCCATTACGACCTTACGCGCCTTGCGCTTACTGTTTAACGCGCTAGCTGCCAGCAGATCGTCGT